ACTCATTGAAGGATGAAATATTCTACGTATGTCAGTTAAGTTTAAGTTATTGATTGTATTCTTGAGTTCTATAATTTCTTTGTTCAGCTTTTGTTTGGAAGATCTATCCAGTGGTGAAAGAGGTGTGTTAAAGTCACCCAAAATTATTGTGTTGTGGTCTATTTGACTCTAGAACTTGAGAAGAGTTTGTTTGATGAATATAGATGCTTCATTGTTTGGAGCATATATGTTTATAATTGGTAAGTCTTGTTGCTGTATGGTCCCTTGAGCAGTATGTAGTGTCCTTCTTTATCCCTTTTGATTAACTTTAGCTTGAAGTCTACTTTATTTGATATGAGGATGAAAACCCCTGCTTGCTTTCGCGGTCAATGTGAGCGGTATAATTTTTCTCAACCCTTCAACTTCAGTCTGTGGATGTCTTTTCCTATGAGATGAGTCTCTTGGAGGGAGCATATTGTTGGGCCCCTTTTTTTTTTTTTTTTGATCCAATCTTCTAGTCTATGTCTTTTGATTGGTGAGTTTAGGTTAGTAACATTCAGGGTTATTATTGAGACACGATTTGTATTCCCAGATATTTTTGTTTATTTTTGGTATTTAACTTGACTTGGTTTCTCCTCTAATTAGTTTTTCCTTTAGTGTAATACCTCCCTCTGCTGATTTTCATCATTGTTTTTCATTTTCTTTTCGTAGAATATTTTGCCAAGAATGTTCTGTAGTGCAGGCTTTCTAGTTGTAAATTCTTTTATCTTTTGTTTATCATGGAAGGTTTTTATTTCATCATCAAATCAAAAGCTTAATTTTGCTGGAGATAATATTCTTGGTTGGCATTCATTTTTTTTCAGTGTTTGGTATATGTTGTTCCATGATCTCCTGGCTTTGAGGGTCTGGGTTGAAAAATCTGCTGAAATACAAATTGGTCTCCCCCTATATGTTAAGATTCTATCCTTATTCTGTATGCTAGGCATTTACATTATAATGTGCCTTGGTGTATATCTGTTGTGATTTTGTACATTTGGTGTCCTGTAAGCTTCTTGTTCTTGGTTTTTCCAATTCATTCTTCATGCTTGGGATATTTTCTTATATTATCTCATTGAAGAGATTGTGCATTCCTTTGGTTTGAAATTCTGTACCTTCCTCTCTCCCAATAACTCTTAGATTTGGTCTTTTGATGCTTTCCCATAATTCTTGGATGTTCTGTTCATGGTTTCTTACTATCTTCACTGTGTGGTCAACTTTATTTTCCAGATTGTATACTTTGTCTTCATTATCTGACATTCTTTCTTCAAATGATCTAGTCTGTTGGTTATGCTTTTTATTGAGTTTTTATTTGGTTTATTGTTTCCTTCATTTCAAGGATTTCTGACTGTTTTTTTTTTAAGAGTCTTTATCTCTTTCTTGAAGTAATCTTTTGCTACCTGTATTTGATCTCTTATCTCTTTATTGGAGTGTCAATTCACAGATAATTTTAATTATGAACCTTCTGAACTCCTTTCCTGACATTTCATCCACTTCAGTGTCCATGGATTCTATTATTGTAGTATCCTGGTTTGTTTGGGGCACTTTCCTCCTTTGTTTTTTCATGTTGTCTATGTGTCTTCCTTTCTTGCAGTGTGAATCTGAGATATTACAGTTTCTACCCCATATTCTTGTAGTATCCATGCAAATTGTCTGTACCTCACCTTGATGTTGGGCTTCCAGACCCTGATGGTGTCCCTCAATGTATGCTACTGTGATTCAAGGTAGTGGCAGTAATAGCCGAGGTAACTCAAGGTAATAGTGGAGGTGCCCCAAGATGGATGCAACATCTTACAAAGATGGGATTAAAAGGTGGGCCTTACATTGCCTTTGGGATGCCTGCTATGAGTTATAGCTGCTTCTAGGCCCTGTCTGTTGTCAAAAGGTAGGGGCTACTGCGTAGGGAAGGCTATGGTGATGTTTGCAGTGTCCCAAGATGGAAGTGGGTTAGGCTTGGGCTACCAGTTGGGGAGGGGGCGGTGGCGGACTTGGACCTGCCCTTGGGCTGAGTCCCACAAGTCGGTGTAGGCTGATCTGTGTAGGCCTGAGCTCTAGTGGGTGTCTGCCGGTGGTGGAATAGACCCAGGCCTACTCTGAGCCTGGGTCCCACGCAGGTCTGTATGGGCAGATCTAGGCCAGGCCTGAGCTCCAGCGGGGGTCTGCTGGTCAGAAGAGGTGGTCCTATGCTGGAGCCTGAGCTCAGGCAGGTGTCTGCCAGTGGTGGGATAGACCCAGGCCTACTCTCTCATCTATCTTTTTTCATCCTTTACTTTTAACCTTTTTATGTCCTTAAAGTGTTTCTCTTGAAGAGTATATTGTTGGGTTTTGTTTTTTATCCAATATGACAATCTTTGCTTTGTATTATTTAGTTATTTTACATAAACCAAACTTCAACAAGTTCAGAGGATTAAAACCATACAGCATATATGCTCTGACCACAATAAAATTAAACTAGAAATCAATAAGAAAAAGACAATTAGAAAAAGTCCTAAAATGAAAATCAAATAAGACACTTAAATTTTCCTTTTTTGCAAGTAAAACACTTCTAAACAACCACAGATCAAATAAGAAATAACAATAAAAATTAAACTGAATGATAATAAGGCATAAAATATCCAAACTATTAAATGCTACCAGGTACGACTGCACATGCTCATAATCCCAGCTACTCAGGAACCTGAGCCCTGAGGATTACAAATTCAAGGCCAGTCTGGGCAACCTAGCAAGACTCCATCTCAAAATAAAAAGGAAAAAGGGCTGGGGATGTAGCTCAGTGGTAAAGCACCCCTGTATTCAATCTCTAGTACAGGGGTTAAAAAAAAAAAAAACTATAGAACATTGCTGAGAGAAATTTTATAAGATCTCAGTAGATAACAAGATAAATTATGCTAATAGACTGGAAGGATTATTTGACTAAAAGTCAATTTTCCCCCACATCAATGTATAAATTCACTACAAACACAATCAAAATCCCAGAAGGTTGGTTGGTTTGTCTTTCTTGAGGGAGTGGGATAACTGAATGACAAGTTAATAAGGAAATACAAAGACCCTAGACTAGACACGGACATATTATAAAAGAAAACATCTGGAGAACTTAACATTACCAGACTAAACAGACAAATAGACTAAAGAACAGATTTCTGAATGATCATTTTACAAATTATCTTACTTAGGGGGGAAAAAAAGATCCTTAACCTCTTTCTCATATCATACACAAAAATAAATAAACTATATACCAGAATGTGAAAAGTCAAACAATAAAAATTTGAAAGAAAATTTTAGGAAAATATCATATGGGTAGGGAAAGATATTTTAACAAGAAACAAAAAGCACCAACCATTTTTTAAAAAAGTGATGAAACTGAGTTTCATTGAAATCAAGAACTTGTGTTCGTCAGAAGACAACATTAACAAACTATAAAGCAAGCCACAAGCTGGGAGAAAATATTTCATTTATGTGTATATATCATATATTATATGATACATAAATATATGTGTATATATATATATATATATGAGATACACAAAGACTCACTATCAGAGTATATAAAGAATTCTTAAAAATCAATAAAAGACAACTTAATTTTTTAAGTGAGAAGAGATTCCCAAATCAAATGGTCAATAAATTTATGACAAAGTGCTCAATAACATGGGGAAATGAAAATTAAAATCTCAATGAAATACCCATTACTTATCTATTAGAATGTCTAAAAATACCAAGATAATAGGTCAGCTAGAACTCTCATACACTGCTAACAGCATTATAGATTGGTACAACTATTGGAAAACTGGTTTAGTTTTTTTTTTTTTTTTGAGGTGGGGGGAGGGTGGTACCAGGGATTGAACCCAGAGATACTTAACCCACTGAGCCACATCCCCAGCCATTTTTATTTTTATTTTTTTATTTTGAGACAGGATCTCACTAAGTTGTTGAGGTTGGCTTTGAACTTGGGATCCTCCTGCCTCAGTCTCCTAAGTCACTAGGATTACAGGTATACACCACCACACCCAGCCTGTTTGGTACTTTCTAATAAAGCCAATATAGAATGTTCTATTATTATATGTCCAACAGAAATGAATGTTTATGCCCACCAAGAGATATATGCAAGAAGGTTCACAGCAGTGTTAAGTCATGAAAGTTTAAAAAAAATTTTTTTTAATTGCAAACAATTCAAGTGTTTATTGACAGGAGAATGGACAAATTATAGTATCCTTGTACAATGGATTATTACTGAGCAATGAAAATAAACTAGCTGTACCACATGCAACAAAGATGACTCTCAACTTTTAGGGACTTAATGTTGAGTGGGAAAAAACACACACACACACACAAAAGCATATATGTATAAAGTCATTTTTATGAAGTTCAAAATTAGGCAAAACTAGGTTTGAGGTTGTGACAGAGGATACCTTTTGAATGAAATATTTACTAGGGCAAGAGTTAGCTGGTTGTATCTTGATCTGGGTAATAGTTATATGGGTACATACATACATAAAAGCTTACCAGCTTTATGCTTATGTTTTACATACTTTATGCAAATACCTCAATAAAAAAGTAATAAAATAATTCATCACCTGTTATTCACTGTTCTTTGAAAAACACCTCACCATTTATCGCTACTCTCTTATTTTCTTGGTACTAGGAATTGAACCCAGGAGTACTTTACCACTGAGCTACATTCTCATTCCTTTCTATTTTTTATTTTAATACAAGAGTTTTGCTAAGTTGCTTAGGTCTCACTAAGTTGCTGAGGCCTACCTTGAATTTTCAATCCTCCTGACTCAGCCTCCTGAGTCACAGGATTACAGGTGCAAACCACCACACGTGGCTTCTACTACTCTTATTGGTAAGAGTCTAATGACTGTAGAAAATAGACTTTGAGCCATATTTCAAGTCCTCACACATGAGAAAGTTTCCAGCCAGACCCTAGGCCCTTACCCTTTGCCCACCCCTTGGGGTGTCCAGGGATTTGGAGACTCTCCTACCTGCTCCAGCTCTTCCTCTGCATATTTTTGGCGGCTCCGCTCATTCTCAGTACCCTCCCGCAGTTCCTTCAGCCGCTGGGCTTCCTGCTTGGCCAGGTTGATCTCATCGCGTAGCTTCTTCTCCAGATGGACTTTCTCCACCTCCACTGTGCGGTGTTCCTCCTGGGCCTTGTGTAGCCTGAGGAGCAATGTAGGGAGCTGGAGGAGGCCAGGCAAGGGGATGCCAGCCAACATGCCATGAGTCATGGCAGCAAGAAGGAAAATGATAGCACTTGCTCTCTGTATTCATTTCCCCTACTCTGCTAACTGGCTAGCTCTGTCAGCTAGGATACCATAGTCATTACCCTAATTCTTACACTGGCCATCATTTGGCTGCCAGTAATTAAGGTGTGAAGTCTGGTTCCCAGGCATCTGAATCCCTCCTCTAAAGTATCTCACATACTACAATCATAACAACCATCAGTTCACAAGGCATTTCACATTTATTCTCCAGGCAGATAATGATATACTGGTATCATTATCACCTGGGACAGATGTGAATATGAAGGGTTAGGAGAAGGAAAATAACTTACAGGAGGAACTGAAACTAGAATTAAAATTATTGTGATTTCAAATACCACAGATTTCCCTTATTTTGGGTTATCTGGAAGGTTCAATTAATGTAGAACTTTACAAGCTATACAAAATCCAGGAAAAACCTAATGGTTGAGATATGAATGACATGAAAAAAAGTTCAGGAAGATGACAAAGTAATTATTGAACTGGACCTCTTAGACTCCTAAGCATCTGATCCCAGAAGCACAGAAAAACAAAATTCATGCCAAAGAGGATCAACAGGGTTTGGAGAGCCCCTGCTGCCCCAGGTTCTGAGTTCTCTTCCTAGGTATCTTCCACAGTAAGATCTCAAGAGTATCAGTCATAAAAATCTACTTTTGTACACACCCACATATTCCCTCTACTCATTGCCAAAACCTTCCATCTAGGAAAGCCTTCCTTCCTCTCCTCTTTCCTCCACATATCTATCCATGTTAATTTGTTCATTCAGCCATTCACCAAGTTCTATCAAGGTGCCTACTAAATGTCAAGCCCTGTACTAAGCCGTAAATATTATGGAGACAAATCACCAAACTGTCTCTCTCACTGAGGTGCTTAGTAACCTAGTTCAACAAATACAAGTAAACAGTTAACTGTCTAAAGTGTTGTAGGTTCTACAATGAAGAGAACCCAAAGGACAGCATAATCAACTCTGCCAGAGAGGAGCTAGAAAAGGGCCTCAACTAGACCCAGATGAAAGGGTAAGAGCTTACTAATCCCACTGAAAAGAGAAAGGACATATCACCCATCAGGTCTTCCTATTTTAATAGGAACACAAAGTTATCAGTATACTATGATAGAAGGGTAAAATGATAAAGAAGAAAAATATGAGATTAAGAATTGGGGTATAGAAAACTAAAGGTTGACTAAAGAACAAGACCCATCAAGAAAGACAATGATCACTGAGAAGAGGCAGAAACAGAACTCAACCTTTGGGGGGGGGGGGGACCCTAGTCCAGAGTTGTCAGTGGCTGAGGACTCCAAAGATGTGGTGGAATAAGCAAGGAAGAAATATTAGCTACAAGCTTCTGCTAACAATTGTAGTCCACTGCCTAATTTGCCCCTGGAGAGAAAAAGGAATTGAACCTCCTCAAGGTGTACAACAGATGGTGCTACAAGCACAGTTAAAAAAAAAAAAAATCAGAGGCGCCATTTCCTGCCCCCATCTCCTTCCCGTGCTGAATATCCTCCTTTATTGTACTCTTCTTCCTTTACTGTACTCTCCTGTAACCCAATTGTAAGAAATTATACCATTAGGGATTTGATTCTTCACTGAAATACTGTCCTTTCTGAAAGATAGCTCCTTAGAAAAGCCAATACCACGATATGTCTGCCCTCTTTCTGTAATAAGGACCTCCTTCAAAGTAGAACTGAGCCTAGTCCATTTTCAAATTCCCAACAGGGTCTAGCAAAGATGGATATTGATAAATATAGTTGGGTTCCGAATTGAACAAATAAAAGCACTACCCCCACCCCAAGGCAATAATGAATTAGCATTACAAAGAAGAAAATTAGGCAGCCAGATTGCATGACTGTGAGTCCTAACTCCAATCTCAACCAGTTTCCCCCCTTCTTCACAGCAAAATAAGAATCAAAATCTCTGCCTGTCTCAAAGAATTATTTTGAAACCCAGTGAAATCCTAAATGGAATGTACAAATAAATGTCAAATTACATTTATTTACTCAAAATATCAGGAATTCTGTAATTAAAGCTCTGTAGTGGCTGGCAATGGAGATCTATTAATGTCAAGGTGGCATGTGGGCTGTTGACACTGTTAGAGGAGGGTATGCAAGTATGTATGTCCAAGTCCGGTGGGGAATAGGACCTGTCTCTAAGTGCTACAGTGGTCATTAAGCTCAGGAGGCCTTAGGGAGCAGGGAAGGCTGGAAGCTTAGTTTTATCCCCAAACTTGGAATGTCTCCTGCCTAGATTCTTTTGTCTTTGGAATGAAAACAGTACATGTTTTTCAGACAAATGAACTATGGGATTCCTCAGACAGCAGCAATTAGTCCCTACGTGGCAAAGGGCTGAGGAACAAGGGCCCAGCAGAATAGCCAGGATTCAGCTAAGAGATCAGAACCCCTTACTCCCTCAAAGCCCATTCCATGGAAATGAGTCTGGTAAGCCTGCTGCCTCAAGTAAGGTTACCTCCCCTGAGTCCCATATCATGTCCTCATTGCCCTTTCCTATGTGTGAGTTTTATTGCCCCAAAAGCAGTGAATTCCTGGTTCCTAGATGTCAGAAAGTTCAAGAATTGACCGACTGACGACTGATACTCTCTTTTTATAACTAAATCTTCAGCCACCATTTTAAAATCATGTTTCATTTTGACAGCATCCCAGATTATCAGAGCTAAAAGTGTTCTCCTAGAAGAGTATGATGCTCTCCACAGAGGGTAAGATCTCAAGGGTATCAGTCATAAAAATCTACTTTTGTACACACCCACACATTCCCTCTACTCATTGATAAAATCTTCCATCTAGGAAAGCCTTCCTTCCTCTCTTCTTTCCTCCACATATCTATCCATGTTAATTTGTTTATTCAGCCATTCACCAAGTTCTATCAAGATGCCTACTAAATGTCTAGCCCTGTACTAAGCCGTAAATATTATGGAGACAAATCACCAAGCCCTTCACACTACTAATGAGGAAATAAGTGCAGGAAGGGAAAGGATTTACCCAAAGTCATACAAGTCAGTACTTAGAAGACTAAGGCTCCATTCAAGAGATAACAAAGGTCAGTAGGAAAAAAGGTTTATGAGGTTTCTTTGAAGAACAGTGAATTATATCTATATATATGGGAACGGAAGCAGTCTAGAGGCAGGACAGAAGACAGAATGACCCTTACTTAACAAGCCATCTAACAGGGGAGTTCAAGACTTATGAGAACTAAACATTTCTGAAGCTCAGAGGGAGGAAAGACAGAAACCAGCTTCCCCCCAGGAGGAATAACTGCCCAAGGCAACTGGAATAGCAGAAGCTAGGCTTACAATGCATTTCTGGAATGGTGAGACAGCCCGGACAGTGATGACAGCCTAGTCTCATGGGTACAACCCAGGTGGAAACAGGTGGCTCCCAAGAGCTAGCAGCACCAGGCTTGTAAGGAAGGGGCAAGGCCTTACCTTTCCTGAAGGTCATGCAAACTCTGCTCAGCTCTGTGTAAACCCTCCAAATCCTTCATCATCTTCTTCATGTGCTCCTTGGAGTAACGGTTCTGGATATAGGCAAACCAGCAGCCGCCCACACCAATAACAATAGATACCACCAGCATGAAGTCCTTGAGGTGATTGTGGCGGGTCACTGCCAGAGAGGAGAGGGCATGATGAGTCAGGGTGCCCACTTCACACTTAGCCTTGCAGACTCACTGCATCCCCTACTTTATGATGCCTCCCCCTGGCAGTCACATATTTCTCTCGGGAAGAATTAGTTTATCAGACACATACTTGCCATATGCTACTACAGTAAGCTCTGTGCTTATTTCTCTGCTAGTCAGGGACTAGTTTGGAAAAGTTGAGAAGTCTAAGAGTAAGGTTTATTAATTCATACTTCTCTAAGATACAGTGAAGAGGAAAGAATCATGCCAATGTATCCCAGCCATCTCTGGGCTAGGATGAGCCCATGTGCCCAGATGCACTGGCTTCCATCCTACAGGATAAGCAATGTAAAGGCAAAAGGAGATGGCTAGGATAAACAGAATAAAGCCATGGCACTGGAGCCTGAGGTCTAGCTACAGGACTAAGGTTACTGCAGAAGTTGGGTTTCCCGGACTAGTAGGCCATTTTAGCACAACATCCAAAGCACAGATCAAGTAAAGGTCTTGAATTCTCAATCTACAGAGAGCATTTCTAGGCTGTAGCTCAATCCAAAGATCAGACAGAAGAGGAGTAGCATCAAGAGATTGGCATATGAGAGACATTACACATGCCCAGAACTGAGAAGCAGATCACCTCCAGAGAATGCCTGGCAATAATTTAGTGAATGCCTGGCAATAATTCAGCCATCAGGTAGGATTAAAAGCAATGCCCAGTTTCCAGAGAAAATTTAAATGCTAAATAAGAAAAAATAAAATAGAAGATAAAAACAAAAACCACCTTCCCAAGAACTTAGTGAACAGGATAGGAGCATTTCTAGAGCCTGACATTGTTCCTAGTACGTCAGATCTGGGCTCTGGGCCATAGCACAGGAGACTTGAAAAGGATATCATAAGGAGAAGAGGACTGCTGCAGTGGCCTATCTGGGATGTACTGTGGATTCAGAGGAGCCATAAATAAAGGAATCAGAAAATGAAGGAAAAAGGAGTTAAACCAAGGTTAAAGACCCCCTCTGTGCATAAAAGGTTGTCCTCAGGTAGGGGAGAAGATAGAATTAGCAGGATACCAATGCCTGGTAAAGACCCAGGTACAGCCACCAAATTGAGGGAGGGTCTAGCTACATGAAAAGACACATGTAGCTGGAAATGACATGAAGCTGAGGCTCACAGTTTGACAAGAAGGGTTACAGTCATAGCTCTCACTGAAAAGCTGAGCAGCAGAATATGGGGATGGCATGGGATCAAAGACAAATTAGCACATGCTATTTCTACGCAAGAAAAGGGAGGTTCAGGGTGGTAGCCACATCTTATACATATTTATGCAGGTCCCTCAGAGAGAAAACTGAAGTCCCTCCAGTAGCCATCCTCTATCCTCCATGTGGACTTGCATTTCTAGCCATACTCATGTCCTTAGTCTCTTGTCCTTCAACTCCCAACAGGAAAAATTTCTGTAGCATAGTCACTTTCTTTTCTTTCTGAACACATTTGTCTCTGCTACAGTCTCTACTAGAGCCTGGGTATTCTTCATTTCCCCTGCTTGCTAAGGATTTCTAATCTTGGTTTCATGGGGTTTCTTAATGCCAACATCCCCTTTTACATTCTTTTTTTTTAATATTTATTTTTTAGTTGTAGTTGGACATAATATCTTTATCTTATTTTTATGTGGTGCTGAGGATCAAACCCAGGGCCTCACACATGCCAAACAATCATTCTACCACTGAGCCACAATCCCAGCACCCCCCCCACCGCCCTTTTACATTCTTAACAAAAGACCAAGGTACCTTCATTCAGACAATACTCTATGAAATAAACATTTTTGTCTGTCCTCTTATTACTTTCAAACTTCAAAGTTCTTAAGGTGGGCATGCAGATTGGGCCTAGCTATTTCATTCAGACCTTTATTCTACCATGTCCAGATTGTTCTAGAAACAGATTCTATCATTTTGATCAGCTTCATATTCTCATCCAAGTCATAAATAAAAACAATGAGTGACTGGGACTAATGACAGAATCTCACAGTTACCTTCTCCCTGCCCCTATTTCTAAGGTAATACTGTTCCACCTTTTAGTACCCTCTGGATTCCTTCAACCAGTTTTGACTCCACATAAATGTGCAAACATCCACTCTATCTATCCACCTTTCTACCTTGTCAAATGCGCAGCTAAAGTCCCAGCACATAAGCTGCCAAGCTTGGTGGAAAGAAAATGAGTATAATCTGGTTGATTTACTCTCCATGGTTTCTAATGATCATCACCTGCCCATATGCCAATGCCCAGCACAACATCAACTGGCATACAGAAGGCACTCAACAAATCCTTTTGATATTGTATCTTTATGGATAAATCTGGAGTGTGAAAATATCTCCCTCCTCTTAATCCACACAAAAAAAGAAATAGAGAAAATATAAAATGTATCAAACATTCATATTCACCAATTCTAATCATCACACCTACTCTATAAGAGACAACAATAGTGTTCATATTCTATAGACCAGAAAACTGAGGCTCTATAAGGGACACTGACTTGCTGGAGCTCATAAAAAGTGATAGAGCTGTATTCAAATCTAGATTTGTCTGGCCACACTATCTTTCCTCTGACCCACACTTTTCCTCTACAACTTTCACATTCATGCCACAAATTTTGTTTCTGCTTTGCTACATGCAAACATCTCTCATTATGGAGATGTTTAAATTGCCCTGATCTAACTTAAATTTATAAGCTCAATGCCTGTATTTTCACATAAGCACGTCCTGGGAGATGATTGTAATATTGCCATCAGAGAAATTATTACACCATCATAGCATGTATCCTGCACTATTAGGAAGTCTGGGTTCTATGCTAGACTGCCTCAATTTGTTATGAACTTCACTTGTCCTATCTGGACCTCATCTTCCTCAACTGTACAGTGTTACTACAAAATTACTTAAGAGAATGCTTAGGTATAAATCAAAATGTTTTGAAGGGTGAGGGAAACATTCAGATGGACACATCCAGGATGTAATTAAGAACGTGGGTATTGAATGTGATGAAGATGAAACAGATGTAGAAACTGTCAGGTCCCTTCAGTGGAGCCCTGAGCTGAACACTACATCACCAACGGAATCTATAAATATTTGTTTAGAAATAGAAAATAGGCAAATCAAGATACTAGTTACAGGGCTGGGGATGTGGCTCAAGTGGTAGTGCGCTCGCCTGGCATGCGTGTGGCCCGGGTTTGATCCTCAGCACCACATACAAACAAAGATGTTGTGTCCCCCGAAAACTAAAAAATAAATATTAAAAAATTCTCTCTCTTTCTCTCTAAAAAAAAAAGATACTAGTTACATCTTACAATTATGTACTTCTTCCCATCATAATTCTATTCCAATTCTTCAATTCCTACCATCTTCCTATCTTTCTAGCCTACCACATTTCACAGAGTTCCCCCATTCCTTCTCCTCTAGTAAGGATTCCCAGATCAATCCATTCTTTGGACAGACAGATGAGCATGGACTATTTCTCTGCTATCTCAGGGAATGCATTTAATGTTTTTCAACTTTCATGTTTGTCACTTTCTGGTAGTCAGTGAGTTCCTCAGGGGCAGCGCACAGAATTATTTACCTCTGTAGTTCCATACTTAGCAAAGGGTCTGACCAGAGTAGGTACTTGGCAAAGGTGAAAAAGAAAGCAAAAGAGAAGAATGGAGGGAGGCCTTTGCAGGAAAGGAGAGTGCAAAACAAAGTACATGTAAAGGGCAAATAATTTCTGAAGACAGAAGAATATGTCCAGTGGTACTGCACAGCCTCTATACAAACTCAGCTCTTAGAATCCACCTCACACTCAATCAACAGAGGCAGGGTGGAGTAACCAAGTTCATTCTGACACAGCAAACATGGCTGGCTAGGTAAACAGAGATAACCTAGGAAAAGATGACTGGGACTTGGAATGATAAAATTCCCAGTCCAAATGCTGCAAATAAATTTTAGCAAAATGAGATCAACTGTTAACATCATCAGGTGGGGAAGGTAGATGTAAACAAAAGAAATGCTATTAATAGAGTAAGGGGTGATTAGAATGTGCAGGGTACCAGTTAGTACTGAAAAAGTGAGTATCCAATTATTATCACCTTCTGGAATTCTCTCTCCCAATCAATTCTTTCCATTCTCTCTGCTTTCCATAGTATACTGATAGATTCAGATATTTATCCTTCACTGCCAAAATCTGTGCTAGGAATGTCTTTTGTCATTTACATAGCCTTCTGTGCTGGAGTGTCTGTTTAACCAGTAAGAACTGGTCCTGGGCCTTCCTTCTTCCCTTCTAGTTATAACCCAACAAATGTTTTAGCTATTTCAAATATTCACAAATACTCTACAGGTAGCAATTCTCCCCAAAACCAAGCTGAGCCAGATTCCTCTCCCAAGTCTGCCTATTCCTGTAGTCTGGAGAGGTACAACCTCTTTCTGTAAAATTTCTAGCAAACATCTGGTAACCACTCCTTGTTGGGTCTTAAACTGAATATTACTGTCTCTGCCCTCAAGGAGTCCAATTTATAGAATTAAAGATGGTAGGAGAGATTGTTTTAAAGACAGTAGGTACAAAGGGCCATGGATTTACAGAGAAGAATGAAAGGGGTTGAGCACACCTGAGGGTGAAAAAGTATCCTGGAGAAGGCTTGAAGAGCATATATAAACATATCCGAAAGGAAAGAGAGAAGGTAAGGATACAGCTACAGTCACCAGAGTAAGCTCTGCCGAAGAGGTGGACACTCCTGCTCACTATGAAATTTTTCCTATTGTCCGAGCCACTGAAGAAGGAAGATAAGACATAATCTTTTCTTTTCCATAACTGTCCCTAACCCAGCAATTACTCTGCAGGTCTGTGTGTGTGTGTCTGTCTCTCTCTCTCTCTCTCTCTCTCTCTCTCTCTCTCTCTCTCTCGATCTTTCTCAATACTCCTGATAAAAGCACAAAGGGCACACTAGTCCCTAGCCTGGGACTAAGCAAACAGTAG